TATATTGATGTGCTTTAGCAAACAGCAGATAATTTTTCCATTTTTTCTATTAATGAATGATTCGATTTATATTCGTGGCTACAAAGGATATATCTATCGAAAACCGCGGAGAACAAGCCATATTTATGCTAAATGATATTGTGTATATAATATTTTTCAGAATATTGATATATATCTCAATTTTTAATTTTTAATTAAATTTGCAATATCAGAATAGATAAAAAACTAAGAATTTGTCTAATTAATAAATTAAATTCTTTATCTGTTCCATATTTCTTTATTAAATTATTATTTTATATTTTATATAATATAATAAACTATGATATAATTCATTGGAGACTTGCATTTGTTTGCTAGAAAATTGGCTTAGCAGGATTCGGTAACAAAAACAAGAATTTTAATTCGCAATTATAATCTAACAATAACTTTATTTACTTCAAAAAAACTAACTTTACTTCTTTATGTTTTTATATGTAATTTTTATACAATATGTCCGTTTTAAATATATTCATGTATTATTTTTTAAGTAACAGAAAATACAAAAAATACAATTCAAATGAAAGTTATATAATATTGTACGAAATATATTATGATGAGAATGATTTGATAAAGTTGGAAAATTTTATAAATATCATATGTATTTTTTATTGTATATTTTTTTAGCCCATTGAAAACTATTCAAAACATTATTTATAAATGTATTTTCTATAAGCTATTATTATGTAGTTAGCTAATATTGAATTATTAATTTTTAAAGTTTATATTGTCAGTATTAATTACCAGACATTGTATACAATACTTACTAACTATGAACTATGATCTATAAAATTACATATATTTACATGTATGCGATAATCGCACTATTTCAAAACGAAAAGAAAATCAAAAATAATCATGACTTTTTCTTTAATTAACATAAGCAGAGTGTAGGAAACCAACTCTTTATCATCTCCTTGCAGTTCGCAGAAAAAATTCAAACAGATTTATGATTCGAAAAGATTCAAATAAATTCGAATAGAATCTATATCGAGAGTTGTCCACTTTTTACTCTATGCCCATTTTAATATCGAATGTTCTATATTGAGCCGTACAATTAATCCAAAATCTGGACTAAGTTTTTGAAATCATAAAATACAATTTTAGTTGTTTTTATACTTTAAAAAACTATTCTTATAGGAAGTTTTCCAGATCATGAAAATAAAACTTTGATTTTAAGCAAATAATATTATATAGACATGCCTTTGGAATTTAATAATTAATAGAATTTAATTTAAATTAATAGAAAGTTTAAATTTTTGTTAGATTTTGATATTAAATAAATTTTAAATGAATAGACCTTCCTTAGGTTGCAAAAAACTTAATTTTCCCTTAAGTAAGAAATTTTAAGTAAAAATTATTATTAAAATTATCAAAAATTATATATATTATCAAAAAATATATATATAAATAAAAGTCAATAATGCTATTTTTTTATATTTCAATGATTGATTATATCTCAATTTCTGATTTCATTTTAGTGATCAATTAAATTTAACATATGTTCATTTTTTTCTTTTTTAATTTATAATTAAATGAACTTAAATATAGATATTAAAATTAATTAAATAAATTTGTATTTTTGATCTGATATCTCATATATTCTTTAAAAAATCTGATGTCTTTATTTTTAATCTTTTGAGTTTTTTCAGAAAATTTTTTTGTAGAAATTATAATTTCCTTAATAATATCTGATTTATATGTAAATATTTTATAAAATATTTATAAATGAAATATACTATTAATTGCAGCTATTTTCATGCTGTTAATAAACAATATTTTTTAAATTCTTTGATCTTTATTTTATAAGTATAATTACGTATTTATTTTATAAGTATATATAATATACATTTTAAGAATTATATCAAATCTTCTAATTTTATTATATCTAATAATTCTGAATTATTAAAAAATTTCTTGGCAATGTTACCATTACTTAATGACATGTCATAGATTTGATACATTCAATGATTTGTTAAATTTTTTATTAAAAATGATCAAATTTTCTAATTATATTTAGATAAAAAAAAATTATATTATATTTATATTATATTTATATAAATATATTTAGATCTGACCTATTATTTTTAATAATTCTGGATTATCAAAAAATTTTCTGGTGATGTTACTATTAGTTATAAATGACATGTCATGGATTTGATACATTCAATAATAGTAAATTCATATCTTTTTTCAATTTCTTTTTAATTTTTAATTTTTAATTTGTAAGATATGCAAAAGAAACATGAAAAAATTTTATGCAGTTTACAAACATTATATCCGTCTCTGTCCGAATGGATATTTTCTGCAAAAAACATTAGAAAATAAATATAATTATATAATTCTCTTTATATTTTTTATATATGTTAAAATTAAATAATTCTAATTTATTTTTGTCTCTTTTATGTAATAATTTTTATTTGTGTTTTGATATTCTAATTGTATTCTTTTAATTATTGTTCCTATTTTTTAATTTATTTCTAGCAGTCATAAGTTTCGTTTTTGTTTGCATTATGATTGAAAAATCATAAAAATCTTTCTACTTCTCTATTGGAATGTGATAATGTTAAAATTTTATATTAGCAATATTTTTAAAAATTAATTCTTCTTTAAGATTATTTAATATTAATTTTATTCCAAATTTTATCTATATTTTTTAATTGCAATAATTCTTTTTTCTTTAGTTGTAGAAAAATTTACCGTTCATTTGATATTTGATTAAAGATTTATGAAAGTATATTTTATATGTATATATGTGTACTTTATATTTATATAATATATGTTTTTATAAATTTTTCATCCATTTGCTTATATTTAAAGATATTCTCTATTAAATATTTCTCTATTAAATATTTATTTATAATATTTATTGTAATATTTATTTATATTTAATTATAAATAAAAACTATAAATATAAAAATCTTTCATTCTTTAATATTTTTTTAAAAGCAGTTTAAAAAAATGTTTGAATATTAATACAAATTCTCTTATTTTTTCATTGTTTTCAATTGAATTAAAATTTTTAGTTTCTTTTATTATTTTTAAAGCTTCGTTACCAATAATAATAGTTTTTTTTAAAGGAATTTAATTTTCATTATTGATATCAGTTATAAATCATCTGTTATGCAAAATTTCTTTATAAATTTTCTGTCTAATCTTAAAAATCTAAAATACAGAAAATAGATAATGTATTAAAATTTTATTACTTTGAAATAATATATTAAAGCCTATAAATATTTGTAATTTTAAAAATTCTAAATATATTTTTGTAAATTGGCAACTAAAACAGATATTAATTATGCATCTTAGATTTATCCTCAATGCTTGCTTTGAAAAAAATATTATAGAAAACTATTATTGTATCATGTTGATCCGATATTGCATTTTTTAAATATTAACCATATTATGGATGGCTAAAGCATTTTTTTTAGTTTTGTTTTTTTTTGAATATTTTAAATTCCTGATTTTTTTTGATTTCGTGAGAATCATCTATAAATTATATGTATAATAATTCTTCAATGTTATGTGCGTGATGTATAATTAGATATAAAAAATATAAAAATATAAATTCATGTAAGAATAATAATTAGCTTACATTAAACGAGAAATCAGCGAATTCTATTTTATCAATATGTATGCATTATTATATCATATCAATTATATTTGAATCAGATTATGCTATTTTTTATATTTCAGTAAAATTAAAATGAGTGAAAGCTTTTCAATAATATTTAATAATATTCAGACATATAATAATATTCTTAACTCAGTTTTTTTCATACTTTTCATTAATATTAATTTTCTTTATTAAAAATTGATTGTTTTTCTACATTTTTTAAAATTATATTTATGTTATAATTAATTTTATATTCTTATATTATATTCTTATATTTTAAAATTTTTTCCTATTATTATTTTTAATACAAAATTTTATTACAAAATTTACGAATCATCATTACATTGTTTAAACCAAAGCTTTTAAATTCTCAAACTATGAATTGCGAAATTATTGTTTTCTTTTGTTCCTCGAAAAGAAGAAAAAAAACGTGATTTTCGCTATATAATTATATAATATAATAATTATATTATAATATATAATTCAATATTTACGTATAAAATATCCATTATTATAATGTATAAAAATTTATATATATATATTATATATATATATAATGTATAAAAATTTATATATATATAAATTTTAAATAATTCTTTAAATTATATTAATGCAAAAATAAATATAATAAAAGTAAATTTATTTTATTTGAATTTCCATTCTTTCGTTTTATTTTTGTTTAAAATTATTATATATAAATTTTGTTAAAATTCATAGAAACAGTAAAATTAAAAAAAAATTCAATGTAACACGAGACTATAAACTTTATACAGAAATTTTGACAAAAATCATGAATACATCAGATTAGCCAAAAATGTCGTATCGTGTCACGTGACGTACTTCTATTTAATTTAGCATAACAGTAAGAATGTAATGTCAAGATTCTTCTCATGCGGAAATTCATTGAGAAGAATTGATGCTATCAGTTTTAATTGTAAAGAGATTAGTATCCGATGTGTCATCCAGCAAATTTAATAATTGATAATAATTTAATAATTTAATAATATATATTAATATATAATATTATATTTAATGTAATAACTGATACAGTTAGTAAATAATCTGAAACATGAATTTCGATATTGCCAAGATCGAATGACAATTTTCCAAATATTTTATTTGCAATGGTTTTGATACAATAATGTATCAAATTTGAATATACAAAAAGTGGATATTTAAATAGAACTTTACAATATTTATATACAGTATTTTTTTATTTTACAGTAGTATTTTTATAATTATTACAATTTATGTGTGTACGTATGTGTATGTACGCTGAAATATAAGGTTTCTGAATTTATGATTTATTATTAAATTTGTTAAATTATTAAAAGAAATGTGGATTTAGGTGCTGGTGTTATTTCCATGGCCAATTCAGGACCAAATAGTAATGGATCACAGTTTTTTATTACATTAGCACCTACACAATGGCTTGATGGAAAACATACAATTTTTGGTAAGTTAAATTTTATTTATTCAGAGATACATTATATATTTTACATGTATTATACAAATATTATATTACATTACATTATACATATATATATATACAATATTATATTACATTATATTATACAAATATTAATTAACAAAAATCATTATTTCAATTTAATATATTTATTACATTGCATTTCAGTAATTAAAAATACACAATGTATCTTGTTCAAATCATCAATTTAAATAACAAACTTTTTACATATTTTTTTATATAAATTTTTAGAATAATTATTTTTGATCTGATATAAATCCTGATATAAATTAAAGTCTAATTTAAACAATGATAATGATAATAAATAAATTTATCAAAAATTTTTTTTTACGAAATTGCATCTTTTCTTTTATACAGGTAGAGTTCATTCTGGTATGGCAATAGTAAAAAGAATTGGATTGGTGGAAACTGATAAAAATGACAGACCTGTTGATGACATAAAAATTGTTAAAGGTTCCATAAGAAATGCATAACGAAATAAATATCTTCTTAGTAATTTACTATCCTTTAAATTTTGTATAAAAAAAAAATCATAATATAATAAATGCAAAAAAAAGTATGAAATATAATTTAAAATATAATTTTCTTTAATAAAAATTTAAAAATTCATTTTTCGTATTAATAATAATAAACTTATTTTAAAAAAAAGAATAAATATCATATAAAATATACAATATGTATATATTTATATATACATATTAAAATATATTTTTAGAATCAATATTAAATATTAAAATAAAAATAAAAATTTATCTTTTTAAGAATTATGTGTACTTTCATATGAATTTTATTTATAATTCATATATAGGCTATTAATATATTCATAAAATATCATTAGTCAATTTTAGAGATGACATAAATTGATATGCAAAAATGTCAATTAAAATAATTTATTAATTATTTATTATATATATAAGAAATTTATAAGAAATTTCATATTAAATAAAACAAAAGATCGATATTTTTATATATCAATAACTTTTTACACAAAAATCGATCCTTCAATGAAAATATTAAAAATATATTAACATATTTTGTATGTATAATATATTAACATATTTTGTATGTATAATCTTTCGATTATCTCCTAAAATATTCGTTATCGTAAAAAATATTATTTTATGGGTGACTTTATGATTATATGAATACGAATGATTATAAATCTTATTAAGAAGGATGTCAAGATTTCATTCTAACTTTAATTTTAAACAGAATTATATTTTTATTTAGATTTAGACATGTAACCTATTTCAAGATGAATTTATTGATTTAAAAGTAATATTATTACTTTTAAAAATTATTTAAAATATTATTTTATTTATTATTATTCAAAATTTACATTCGTTAAATATCTGGAAGTTATTTTTTGTCTTCTTATACGTATTATTTATTACGTATTTAAAAGTACAATCTTGGACGTCAATTAATTGACGTTAATTATTCTATATTTGAGTAATATTTGAATTGATTTGAATTGATTAATTCTTATATTTGAATGATAATTCCATTCTTTTCAAAATTGAAATAATGATTTTCGGGGGGGAGGGGGGTGATTTACGCGTGTTTCGTGTTTGGATCAAAAAATTTTTAATTATAGGTATAATATATTTTCTAATTTTTTATATATTTTTTTATTTTTTATAATTAAATGTTGTATTTTATTGTAATTTTATTGGATTTAGAATTGTTTTTGTATTTTTTAATTCTAAATTATCTTTTATTCTATAAACAATGTTGTATAATCTCATTACTTCTTTAAAATAATTCGTTATCAAATCACCAAATTTATTTCTAATATAAACTGGCATTAGAAATGTTTTTATTATATATTTGAATATATAAAACTTATTTTGAAAAATATTATTTGAATTCTCATGGTTAATAAATTATAAATTATGAATTAATATAATCTGATGTAAATGTTCTTAAAAAAGAAAGATTTTTATAAAGATTGTATATCTTTTTGGAACATAAAAAGTTCTTTAATTTGAATTAATTTGTATTAATTTATATTAAATAAAAAATTTTAATGCAATTTATCATTCATTTCTATCCACTACAGCGTGTCAAATCATAAATAAATATTTTTTAAAAATTCTTATAATAAAAAATTTATTTATCAGTTAATAGAGAAATATATTTTAATTAATACGACTATGATTTTAAAATGGTCATCCTAATCATTCTCCAAAATAAAAATTTTTTTGTTTTTAAAATTAAATGATGAGCAATAGAATTATATTTTTATATTTCTAATATTTTTGAATTATATCTAATTAAATATTAATTTTTATTTTATTTTTTCAATTGAATGTAATATAATGTTCGTTTTAATCGTATCTTAAATGAAGTCTTATCTTTCATTTATTAAAAATAATTAGCTGTTATTAGTAGCTTATTATTATGAAAGTTATAAAAAAAAATTTTTGTCGCCGCACATGCAAATGATATTTAATTGTGATTGATTATCAATAAATAATAGTTGCGACAAAAAAGTAGTAAACAAATTTGTTCAATAAATATTAGAATAAACATCATTTTAATTATTTGATTATCAGCTGCACACTTATTACTATTTTTTATTTTTATTTCTATTTCAATAGTTTCAGTTGAAGCTAATATTAATTATTAATCAATTCAAATAACTTCTTTCGCTTTTTATAATTCGCTTTTCTTCTGTTGACTATTTTCTCTTTTTGTTTTTTCTTCAATATTTTTTTTCTTTTTTTCTTTGACTTGTTTTAATTTTTAATATTTTTAAGTATGAAAAGTTTATTGACGTATAACATTATTACGTTAAAATTCGCTGCATAATTAGCGTTACAATAAATTTTTTGTTGCTAACGATTAAGGAACACTATAAACAAGTTATTATAACATGAGTTATAAAGAGTTGTGAGTATATTAATAAGATTGCTTATTGTTGTTAGAATTTCATCCTAATAACCAAAATTGTAATGATTTTTAGATATTAGTTATTTGTGCATATCATACAATTCAGATGATAATAGATGATAGATTAATGTCCACAGATATATAAATTAATCATTTATATATTATAATAGTCAATGATATATTTTCAATAGTGCAAGAAGACGACATCAACATAAGTTGCTACTTAAAATGAGTTTCGATTAGTTGAATACAAGTAAAATAAGTGATTAATTATTATTGATAAAAATAAAAAATAAATAATGAAAAATATTTGTTTAATAATTGAAATATTTTTTTAATATTGGATATTTTCCTTTCACTTTAATATCAATTGGATCATTTGTGCATTTCATTTTAATAAAGCATAGATTATATTCGTACAATCATACATATAATTGTGTGCAACATTCAATTCATGGTAGTTGTTAAAGAAAATTAAATGGAATCTAACTCGTATTGTGAACAGATGAAGCCTTTTTTACAAGAAAAGAATATAAAAATAAAATTATTTATGAAGCAAAAAAAAAAAAAAAAAAATACTTTTACATTTCGATTCTATGCTCAAGTTCGCTGGTCAATCACTTTATGGGCCAATAATCCCTAATGCCCAATGCTTCATCACTTTATAAAGTACTTTATTACGTACCATATTAAGCATTTTTGGAACACATTTTTCTGAAATTCCTGAAAGAAATTCCATTGGAGATCCGTAAGAGCATGATAATGTTATAATTCCTATCATCTTAAATCCAAACTTATTTAAATCTTTCGAATACAAATAACACGATGATTTTATGCTCTCATGGACATTGGATATAAATTTATTGAATTTTTTCTTCTGAAATTACTTAAAGGTAATTTTATTATTAATACTGTTTTTCACATTATTTATTTTAAATATTTTTTATTTTTATTAGAATAAGAGATATCGTTATCCATTGATATTAACAAAGGAAATTATCAAAATTCATGTGATAATAAATATCATCGCATAAATAGAGGAAAGTGATAAGATGTTTCTTTAGAAACATGCATATGGAAAATAATCTTGTTAAATCTTATTTGATATAAATTTGTACTTGCTAGATTACAAATGATCAAATTTTCATATTTAATTGGATTATAAATCATTAGCTAATCAATAAAAATGACTATATAGTGAAATGAACAATATAATTGATTCGACATTATCGTTTGGTATTGTATGTATTATCTCTAATCAGATTTTTGTTAATTTATTATAAATTAGTTCATTAATCTATTGATATATTTTATTTAAAACTCGAATTGAATTTTTAGATAAATAAGTGAATTTAATCTAATTGATCAACTTTTTTTAATTTTTTCAATATAGATCATATAGACTGATTTATTATTTTTTTAATTTTAAATTTCATTCTAAATTCTAAATTTCAAAAAACTTTATATTTATTATTTTGTATCACAATTTTGCATTATTCATTTTGAATCGAATAAAAAATTCGATTATTTATCGTACGTGAATAACAATTAATTATACATTCGATATAATTTTGTTCAATAACTTACTCTAATACTAATACTCTAATATTACTTAGATTTGTTTGTCTGAACATTATGTATCCAATGGTATTATTTCAGTTCAATAAGTTACTATAATTAGCCAATATTAATAAAATTACAAAACTAAAATGAAAATTTTTACAAAAAAAAAATTGCTTGAAATCATTTTAGAAATCACCAGTTAAATTTTATTATTTTTGGAATTATATATTTGTACATACATAATCAAAAAGTATCCGAATGTAATTCCCAATTATTCTATTGATTGATTAACTCCTAATTTCTGGAGTTATATGCTCAAAATAGATCTTAATGTTATTTTTTTGAATTAAAGAAATATATACATATAATGTGTGTGTGTGTGTGTGTGTGTGTAAAAAAACTTTAAGATCTCACTTTATAGTTGAATATTATATTTATATTATATTTTATTTATTCATATTGTTCATAATTTGATATAATTTTTTTATTGATAAAAAATTATATATTAT